CTTCTAGTGACACGCATGGGCCCGTATAGTAATATCATATCATTATTGTGCTACAAAAAATAGGAAAGAAAACAAAACCGTCTGTTTAGGATGTGGCAAATAAAAAGGCCGGTCGTTTCGAGACAGGGAACATTGCATCCCGGCAAAAAGTACGACGAATAGGCAGAAATAACAGAAGGAAAGAAATTAATAAACGAGACTAATTTTGTTATTTTGACTCCAGGCTTCATAGAAATATACTTTGCTTTATCTTTAACCCAGAAAACCTAGGGGGGGGGGGGGGGGCTTTAATAACACCCTCTTTCTCGCGAACTGCAGAGTAAGACTGCTGAAACTTGGTGGATAGAATTGGCCTCGATGACCATGTGGAAACAAATAAAAGAGTAAATGTAACATGTCACCACGTATAATCGTGACAAAAGTTCGCCATCTAAAGAAGTCTGGCATACGTCTTCCACACATGTGTACGTCCCTCAGTAAAGTACTCGTAGATACAGCAAAGAAGACCGCCTAACCTGTTGTAAATGTCTTTATTACCCGGGCTACTTTGCTGAAGTCGCGGAAGAAATCAATTTCTTGATCACGAACTTCATATAGTATGCACCGTAGACACAACGATCGTTTTCGATTATATCACATTACTGTGTGTTACCTGACATGCATGTACCCCTGGGGTAAATCAGGAAGGTGTAACTATATAAAGACATGAACTTGAATGTTACATCTGATTCTATAGTGACCTCTTCGGTGATTCACTCAAGCGAAACAGGTCATAGCCACCAATTCGCTGTCAATAGATTTTACTGTCAAATATGTTATTGTTGCTATGGGTTTATATTATGGCAATAAAAAAACTTTATTTGCAGGATAACTTGAAGCCTACGAGAATTTTTCTCACGCTATTAAAGGGATACATTACTGACGTGAACAAGGTCAAGACAGAGGCGGTGATCTCACGCCTCAGGACACAGGCGTGCACATGTTCGAACAAACACACTAAGATAAAGATAAAAACACACTTGCATTAGTAATAATCACATCTACACATGTTATTGCTCAAACTCATGTGTGGAAATATACTTGTACACGCGTTCACACGCACACAAGTGTAAAGGAAACAAACTCGTACACATACATGCAAAGAGAAAACATTCGATTCTTATTTCAATAAAATGCGCTAAATGTATTTACAATTAATCATTTGATGATTTGCATAACTTTAAAGAATATTCTTACACGCCTAAACACACACACACACACACACACACACACACACACACACACA